TTTATATCATTTAAATTTAATTATATATCATATACAATATATAAGATTGATTATTTTGATTTATTTACGCTAATTGCGAATAAACAAGAGTGATAGTTAAATTTATATGCATACGTCAATTTATTACATAATAGTGACTGATTTCTTAGTTATGTAATATATATATTTATTATTTTATTATTTTATGATATGCAGAAAAATATAAAATAAATTATAAATATAAAATATTTATTATGCATAAAGTACAGATCTTAACCTAAGTATGTATCTTTTTAATTATTTTAAATCTTAAGTATTTTCTGAATCCCAGGTCAAAACAAATAAACGAAATGAGAATAAACTTCAAAATCAATATTTATATCGAGTAATAACCAAAATATAAAAAAAAACACAACAAAAGAAAAAATTGAAGATAAATAGAATTAATACGTGAACGTAAACTTCTCATAGCCATAATTAATTTTTAAATTGTTAAATCATGATATAAAACTGAGTTAATTTTTAATTTGTTAATTTTTAATTTTTTAAATCATTATGGTTATGTTAAATCATGACCATAATTAATTTTCAATTTTTTATTTGTATTTGACAAACTTAAAAATAATTTTAAATTTAACTTATTTTTTTATAAAATTCTTTAAAAAATAATAATTTGTAAAAAAATATAGTTTTCTAATATTATTATACAAATAAATAAATTATATTAAATTAGTTTTGGAACATTATATATTTTAAATGTAATTATTTTACCAACTGCTTCTTAAAAAACATTAGGAAATTTGCTAATACTCTACCAATCAAGCCCAATGACACTCTATTTATTTTCCATCACTCGAACACTAAAAAGTAAAAATATATATGAAATCGGGTCTATTAAATTCTAAGATTTGATCTACATTTCTAATTACAATTATTTCTGATTCTACGTATAGATAATTATTTAAAAATTCCGAAATTCTAAAATTTCAAATACATATAAAAATAATCATATGTAAATTTTATATTTATCAATACTAAAATTTTATGTTTTAATTACGTATATTCACCATGCGCAAGGCGCATGTCTTATCCTAGTGTATTATTAAAACAATAGCAATTTAAAAGGCCATAGTAATCAAACCAAATGTTACAAATTATTAGATTTTATTAACAGTCGAGGCCCAACACCCAAATTTAAAACATCTTAGACAAAAAAAAAAACAAAACTCATTTACCCGTTGGTGTCTATTTCTTTTTGTTGTCGAGACCTCTGGTGTCTCTTTCTAGAAAGTTGAAAACTGGAAAATATCAGAATATTCTCTTTCTATTACCACTGAATGTTCTGGTCTCAAACTCATGGATATGTAAAACTCAACTCCGACTGTTCAGGTACTTGTATAATATTCTAATTTTTTTTTCTTTTTGAAAAAGGGCATAATAATATCCTATTTTTTCTTCTTAAAGTAGAGATACTGGGATCATCTGAACTATTTGGAGCTGGAATCTGAAAGATCTAAAGTTTCTCATTTTATAAATCTTTTGCATGTCAGATCAGACTCCTCCTCCGTTGATTCCGATGGTCGATGTAAGAGAAGCTGTTCTTCATAGAGCTATTTTATGTGTGTGAAGTAATTTACAGCGAATAATAAAATATGGGCATTGATTATCTCTTTGAATATGTAAAATTTGCCTAAGTTATATTCGGGTCAAATATTAAAATATATGTGTGAAAAATATTTTGGTTCAACGTGAAAGTTAGTTTGACTTATTAATCGTTTGAATAAAAATGTTTGTTTATTTTACCAAAAAAAAAAAGAAAAAAATCTTTGTTTACAGTTGTTGGAAGTAACGAAGACGAATGAAGGAGCTTTTTAGATAAGTCATTTTTCAGTTACAATAATATAACTAAGTAGTATATGTTGTCTTTGTTCTTCAGGAAGTATATCTAAATTTTTATTTGTTTGTCAGGAAGGAGCAACTGGAACTAAAAGACCGCAAGTCACTTCAGACAACTTCAAATACATGTTCTGATTTTCTTTTGCAAGAAGTTTTAAACTAAACTGCTGGGAGCAACTGACAAAAATGTAGACGACGTTGAGCAAAGGAATGCAAAGTGTATTCAGAAAATAGTATTTGGGTTGACTCACTTTGAAAAGATAGTCAAAGACTTCTTTGAAGCCACTCATAAAACAAATAAAATAACATTTTCTTCTTTGGTCCATGGAGGTAAAACTAACTCGCGTCTTTTTGATAATTTTTCGTTCTTTCAACTTGATAGACTATGATATTATCTTTACTTACTGCACCTCATTTGCTTACATACATATGGTTCGAACTTCAACACCAAGTGTAAGTGAAAATGGGCTTTAAGATTATCAAAAACGATTACCAAGATAAGTATACTCTTGTCTATTTTAGAGACTCAAAAAATAGTGTATGAAAAAATTGATTAGAGATGAAGCTGGTATTTGACTTCTGATGGTGACAATTTTTCATCAGGGACAGAAAGAAGAATATCAAAAGTATCTCTGGTATTCAAATCCTCCCCTCGTCAGTAAATAAAACTATATTTCATATATACTATTAAAAACAGTATTTAACGTGCTTTACTCATGCAGGTGGACTTTGTATATATTCTGAATTGAGTAAAAACAGTTAAGTGAAACACTACTTCAACCCTGAAAGATAAGTTCCTTTATACAATTATTAAATAACTTACTGATTAAATATATGGTTGGTGAATCTAGAGATTCACCCTAGGGGGTGAACCCAAGAATTAATCATATAAAACAATGAAATTCTATTGATTAGTGAACCTCTAGATTCACCCTAGGGGGTGAACCCAAGAATTACTCTTAAAAATCAGAATATTCTTTATTAATCCACTAATTGATAAATTGTTTATATAGTGTTTAACTTTAGTTCAAAATTGATGTTTAAATTGGTGGTTTCAATATGCTATATTTATAAAATTCATAAACAAAAATTTCAAACTTTTTGGTATTAGGATATAGGGTTTGTTCTGAGTTTTAACCCACAAACCTGTAATTTTAGGATATTGAATTTGATTATTAACAAAGAATCAATTGGGTAATTTTCCGTACGCTTATGTTACATTCGAAAAGGGTTTATTAGATTGGGCTTAAATGTTGTTGTGATTGGCTCGAATCTGTTTTGGTTTTAATGTTGCTGTAATTGGACCTGAACTAATTGCTTCTGATTGGTCAATAATATAGACGATTTTCATTTAAAAGAAAAAAAGGCAGTGGCATGTAATTAATTTGAAAAACTAGGGGCAGAATCCTAATAGGGATTCTGCTTTAATAGTATAGATTAACATCAAAGAGCATTAAGCTTACTCTTTAAACTAGAATCTCTTAACTTTTTCACCCTTCACCAAAGGATTAGCTTTGCCAATTGCATCTCGTCCTTGACCTCTGAAATCAAATTGGCAATCATAATTCTAGGGATATCTATCGTCTCCACAGAATGTGCTCCCACACTTGCCCTTAGACCCCATCAATGAAAAGATGATGCCTGCTATGACGGCCTAGTCATTGTAATCGGTTATGTCCCACGGAGACGCCCTAGTCATTTTAATCGGTTATATCAAAGTTAATACTACAAGCTTAGCTGATTATCCACTCAGAGGAAATCTGGTTCGAAAAAACCGGTTCTTTATTCAAATCGAAACCAGTTATGTTAAAAATGTGTTTGTGTGTATGAAACTGATTCTGTTAAAATGAATTAAACTAAAACTGTATTCATTTGTGTATTTTGAATAAAAAAACGGTTTTCTCGAACTGGATTTCCTCTGTGTATACCATCAGCTAAGCTTGTAGTATTAACTTGGACCCAAAACTGGGGATTTTGGAGTATACCAAATGCAAAATATCATTTTCATTTGGAGTAAACCATGTAAGCTGCATTTTGCTTCTTATTTTTTTCTTTCAATGACTTTTTGACCTAATTTGTATTTTTCTTTCAATGTTCCCTACATCTTTAGTAATTCAGGTTAAGCTTAGTAGCAATGTCTGGTAATGTTTCGGTACCTCTTTTTAGATTAATGTAGTTTTGAAATACTTGAAGACTCGTTTTGATTAGTGAGAAAAAAAAAAAAGAAAAAGAGTAACACAAAGCCACTAGGTCTTTATTGAATATATTCACACAAATTTTTGGTCAAGTACAGAACATATGTGAAGGAGAAAACAAACGAGTTTTCGATCGGTTCAAACTTTAAAATATACTGCAATTTTGATGGTAAAGGGTCTCTCAGCAAAGAGTAGCTTCCCAAACGGTGGTTCCATCACATGAACAAAGCTTTCTGCAACTCTCTCCTACTTCTCCGCTTCTAGCAACAACAGCGGCGGTAATCCCCTGTAACGACTTATCCTCTGTTTCATACAGCACAACAGCTCGTCCAATCAGATCCGTTACATTCATCTTCTCTTTCTTTACCGTATAGAACGCCTCTCCATTGTTGTCTGCCTCCAACGTTCCTAGATCGCCTGGTGGCTATATACCAAAATAATGTATTTTATAATAAATCAGTCTTTTTTTTTTTGTTCTGTTGATTATTCATATATAATGAAGGAAACTAACATGTTTGGCAGTTTGGTCATCTTGTAAAGGGTTGTACATGTTCCCTGTAGAAGCTGCTCCTTTTGTGAGATCTCCATACTCATTTATACACCAACTGTGTTTTCCTGGAGACAACCCGCCGAAACTGGCTTCGATTCTTACATTCTCCATAGAGATTTGTACGAATCGAACCACCCCGAAAATGTTGGGGCCTTTGAATTCTGATACCGCAGCAGCTGAAACTAAGAAACATGTAATCCAGCTAAATCAACGTTATATTAATAAACCTTGTTATCGAAAAGAAGAAGATTTAAAAGCACGAACCTTGAGGAACACACGCCATGGGAGGGCTAGCAATGCTTCTCGCGTATCCCCAACGAAGGCGAGGCGAAGATCGGGAAGAAGATGGAAATGGGAGTGTCTGAGATTTGGTAGAGGAGGAAGAAAAGAGTGTAAACTCTGTCTGAGTCGCAGAAGCAGCTCCAGGGATCGTTGCCACTGACCTCAGATATGACATCATTCCCTTATGCTATGGGCTCGTACTTTATAATTTTCATTACATTGTGGCAGTACATCTTTATGTAACCAATCATAAAGTTAGTACAAAGGTTGATAGTACGGAAGGACATTACAGGTCGTAACTATTAAATGAGCAGTACAATAGTTCTTATTGGGATCAAGTTATAGTGATAGTACAAATTGTACATCTTTTTTAGGTAACCAAATGTAGAGTTTAGTACAAACGCTGATATTACAAATTAAGAACATTATCGAAAAGGGAAGTACAAATGATGGTGCAAAGAAAGTGGTTGTACTTGTATGTGGTGAATAATGGTGTAGTACAAATCTATGTGGTACGAAATATAGCAGTATGAAAACAAATGGTACAGATGACAGCAAGACTAAAAATAGTAGTACAATATGATGGTACTAAGATTAGAGCCAAAAAGTTAAATATGAAAATCAAAGACAAACGCTTGAAATAACCTAACTTAAATTTATCAAATTTTTTATTCTATTTATTATCATATTTTATCCTAAATTTTTAAAGGGAAAATTGACAGAATTGGACACTCTCAACTTGAGTTGTCTCCCTAAGAAATTGTTTAATTTTTTTTCGAGTTTATATAATATTTGCTATTTATTTTCTTAATACAATTTTGTGTAAAAAAAGTAAAATAGAAAAAAGTAAATACACGATAAATCTAAAAAACCCATCTACCTTCTATCATTTTCTCTGAAGATTCTCTTCATCATCTTTAATGGTGATTTGCCAATCTTCTTCTTCTCCACACTGTTAAAAGCCATCCTATGTTCTCTGTTTCTTCTTCTCTGTGCTTTGTTTCTTCGTCGTCGTTTTTGTTTTTCGTAAGTTGTCTAATCTTTGATTCCTTCTTTCTATCAATCTTTCAATACTTGTCGTTCTTTCTCATGATTGTGTGCTATGTTCTTGTTGCCAGGTACGTTCTAGACCACAATGTTCGTTTTCTCCATTGATTTCTAATCAAAGAAAGAGTGTTGCAGCTAGTTCAAGATGATAACATCAACCAATACAATTCATTTGAACCGCTTCCAAGTTCTCCAAGAAGAAATGAGGCGAGCTTTATCTCAGAAGAATTCTTGGCCAGGACATGGTTCTTACCCAACACAAGTTCCCATCACCAGCATACAGTTCAACACAGCTTATGCATCTAGCATGGCTTTTGCTTCACTGTCTCCAAGCCGAGTTCTGCTGCCCCGCATGAGTACAGCTCCATTTTCACCCTTTCAACAGTTCCATGGATGTAGAGGAGAGAAGACACATCTCTTCTGTAACTGAACATAGTGGGATAGGCAATCACTGTAGTACTAACTCCTCGTCTGTGGGAAAAACTCAGAAGTCTCTTCAACGGGAAGCCGCTTAAAAAAAGTTCAGGATGAACCGTAAGGAATTTAAAAGAGTTTTATCTTTCCATTCATAATGAAAGATTTCTTGTTCTTTAAAAAAAATCTTTTATTTGATTCTTAACAAAAAAGGATGTTATGTATATGTTATATTCAAAAAAGCCTTTAATTTAGAAAAGTTACTAACTTGAATTTGTGATAATTTGTAAAATACATATGCTTGTGATAAAGAGCAGATGTTTGAAAAAAAAAGTATATAAAACTTTGATGTATATAAACTCATGTGCACATAATGGATATGTTAAGGAGAATGATTCAAACCTTTTGGATAATACTTTGTACATGTCCGTTATGAGAGCCGGAAGAAACTGGTAGATCAACGTCCGCGTATCAAAGGGCAATTCGTTCGCCAAGTCCAATCTACTGAGACCTCGACACAAGAAGCTCCACAATAATTCAATAGGTTAATGATGACTAATAATATATAGAGTTCAATTTTGTTCTTGAGCTAACTCCCCACGTATGTGTACATACAGCTTTGTTGTTGGTTTTAGTTATAATCTACACTTACGCTATCTCCTTACATTACACTTACATATTATGCTCAAAGATCATCATCATCATCCATTGCTACTGTCACCAGCACCATCCAAGGATGGTTTGCTACTTGGAAATCTTTCGAACAAACCTTGGTAACACATAAGCATATAGAATCCTTGTTCACGTTGCCCATAAATTAGATACTTGTTGGTCATTTCTGATAATAATGGGAGTATTCCTCTTTGATTCACCATCTCATAACTGAACACGGAATCAACGACATGATGATCCATTCCATAATCCTCACACACAGTGATTTTCAGCAGCTCCAACAGAGTATTAGTCCCTAATGTTACCATTTAACCATGCTTTTCCTTGTCAACCATGAAAATCCAATGTTCACTGCAACGAGATATCCATACACCCGCTTTAACATAGATAAGAACCATGTTTGTGTGGATAGAGAGAAGATATGGTGACATGGATAAAGAAGAATGAAAAACAGAAAGAAAGAGAAAAAGATGGTGGGAGAAAAAAATGTGAAAGATAATACTGTATATTGTACTAGATTTATTGTACATTTAGGGAAGATTTAGGAAAGATAATAACCGAAATATGAAACTGCCATTTTCATGATTTAGGTGGAATACAAAATCTATGTAGATTAGAACGATGAATAAACGGTGGATATATATTCTTCCTCAAACAGATCTTAAGAGTTTAGTTAAAACATGTTATGAAACATAAATAAGTTAAGTTATGCCATACAGTAAATTGTATAACACATATTCGGATTAGATGTAGACCACTAATATCTAGCTATAGTGCAACCAAAAAAATTCTAACAAGAATAAAAAAAATAATAAAATTTTGTTTATGTTTTATAACCATTTTAGATCATTGTAATGTACTTTGTATCCGAATTCTAAACTAAGTAGATTGTCATAATGAATATTATATGTTTAGGTATGACATAAAATAAAACATGATTATACAATTTTTTTGAAAGCATACATATAGTCTAATTTATGTTTCTAATAGTTTTCATATTTTAAAAAATTTCTAAAATCAAAAATACTATCTTTCCACTACAAAAGGGGAAACATGTTCAAAAAGGGCATAAAAGATCAAAAGTCTTAGTGGAACCAAAAAAAAAGTTGAGAGTGTCATATTTTGCCAATTTCCCCATTTTTAAATTATCAACACGATTAACTAATAAGAAGTATATATTAGAAACCTCTGTTGACAACATTGCCACTGCAACCGCTTAATCGGCATCTTAATGTCTCTTGACCGTGACGATTTGAAACCCCCAAAAAACTTGGGATCTTAAAAATTTATGGAGGTAAAATTAGGGTTCTTGGCTAGCAAGAGTTGTATGAAGAAGATAAAGATAGTTTGAAAAAAAAAAAGTAAAAACGATGTGCCCTATACTGGAATACGCGGGCTTCAGTGTTTAATTGTACATTTAATAGTATATATACTAAAAAGAACTCGTCGATTATTCCACTGATAGTCTCTGATTTCTTCATTCGGTGCTATGCCCAACCAGAGCGTACGAAGAATGCCTAGCAAGTTTCCGAATAGCGATAAGAACTAAGTTGCAAGTTAAAAGAATACTTCAAACCGGAATAAAATTAAGTCTAGTTTATATTTTTGGAAACTGTTAACAATATTTTGTTTTCTGGAAATGATACATTGGTGGGATACTGAGCCAACATAAATAAATACTTCAGGGATTACAACGGTGAACAAACTAATATTCTCAGAAACAAAGCTCTATAAACTAAAAACATAAAACTAAGACTATAGAGGAAACCGGAACTGAAGCTGAGGCAACTTAACGCAATAAAAGACTGAAACTTAAGACCAAACTAAAACACAAGAACTTGACCCTTACACCTTGAGAACCTTTGAGAGAAATTACCAAAACATATATAGTAACTGAAACCTCGTATAATTTACAATTAAATATTCTTATATTTCTTATAACAATAATATTTCACATTTAAAATATAACTTAATTTATATAACTAAATATGATTTATTATTTTCAATAACACAAATAGAAAAATGATATATATATATATATTAAAATACAATATATTATATTATTTAGAAGTAAATAAATTATATATTATATATAAAATTTTAATGCTAATTTATATATGAATCAGTTATTGTTCTATTTATCATTTTATTAAACACATTAATGAGAGCATACAACTTCTATATCATACTGATATTATTTTATCATTAGTTTTATCAATCAATGCCTAATATTTTTAACTTAGCTCTAGTGTTACACAATTTTAATAGAGTTTCTAATAAAAAATTAAACAAATTCTAATATTTGGTATCATTGTATCAACTGATTTATTATTACATGAAATACTATGGATATAATATTTTAAAATAGAAAACAAAAATAATACGAATATGTCGTTCTACTGATCCAGATGACCGAGCACCTAATTTAAATGGGCTCAACGCAACTGTAACAATTCGATGCACTATGGCTTCAGTTATGAATTTTCTTTGGGATGTAGAAATAGTGGCACAAAGTTGAGTTTAAAATCAGTCTTCACAATATTGAATCAGTTTAAAGAGGTTACTATACACTGTAAGTTGACAGACATGTGATACCAAGAATCTCTTTTTACTTGGTGTAATGAACGCGAAGAGGGACTAATTTGTAAGAAGCTCAATCGGGTATTAATAAATGAGGAATGACTGCAGAGCTCGCAAGCATATTGTGTGTTTGAATTAGGAGTGTTCTCTGACCATTTGATGCATGATTCAATTGGATGTAGAAGAGAAGAAGAAAAGTACACAATTTAAGTTTTCAAACGTAAGATCAAAGATGCATGAATTCCTACCGTTGTTGGAGAACCAATGAAAAGATCATTAAGCTTTTTTCCCTTCTACAACTGCAATGTTCCGACTTACTAAACGACTGAAGGAGTTGAAGCATCCATTAAGAGCTTTAAGTAAACTTAAATTAGGAGATCTATCAAGAAGAACTAAAGAAGCTTACCAAGAGTTATGTCGTAAGAAGATGAATACATTGGAGAACCCTTCAGATGAAGCAATTAGAGAAGAAGTCAAAATTAATACTAAATGGCAGAGATTGACATAACTGGAGGGATATTATTTAAAGCAGAAGTTGAATTTACACTGGCTGGAGGTAGAAGATGGAAATAACAAGTTCTTTCACAACTCAGTTAAGATAAGGGAGTTTCAGAATGCAATTCATGAAATTCGTTGTGGAGATAGCTCTATAGCAAAGACTGATGAAGAACTTAAAAGAGAAGCTGAGAGATTCTTCGCAGACTTCATGTCAGTATAGCCTCCGGAGTTTGAAGGAGCTACAGTTGAGAAGCTTAAAGATATAGTGGGTTTTACTCGTTCTGAGCCAGACAGTGCAAAGCTGGTACAAGAGATTACAAAATAGGAGATCAAGGAGTTATTTTAAAAACGCCGAGTAGTAAATATCCAGGGCCATATGGATATACATCTGAATTCTTTAGAAAAGATTTGGCCAGTGATGGGGGAAGACATCATGGTGGCAATTCAAGTTTTCTTCATCAAAGGTTTCTTGCCAAAATGTATCAATTCTAATATATTGCCTCTTATACCAAAGAAGGAGGAAGCAAAAGAGATGAGAGACTACAGACCTATATCCTACTGCAATGGATATATAGGTGATCTCAAAACTTCTTGCAAATAGATTAAAAAGTCTACTGCCTAAGTGCATAACTCTTAGTCAGTCAGCATTTATTAAAGAGAGGCTATTGATGGAGAACATCCTACAAGAAACTAAGTTAGCAAAGGATTATCATAAGGAGTATATTTCTTCTAGATGTGCTATGTAGATTGATATATCCACGGCTTTTGATTCAGTACAATGGCCATTTCTTCTCAACAAGTTGAAAGCTCTTGGCATACCAGATAAGTTCATACACTGGATCTCTCTCTGCATCACAACAACTTCTTTTTCAGTGCAAGTAAACGGGGAATCGGCAGATTACCTTCAAATCAAAAGGGGGGTTAAGACAGGGGTGTTCCTTATCGCCATACTTATTTGTTATAAGTATGAATGTTCTCTCAAAGATGTTAGATGAAGCTGCAATGAAAGGGAAAATCGGATACCATTCTTGATGCAAAAATATTGAGCTTACCTACTTATGTTTTGTGGATGATCTTATGGTGTTTGCAGATCAAAACCAAAAGATCGGTTGAAGGGATTCTTGAGGTATTTGAGGAGTTTGACAAGACGACTGGTCTTAAAATCAGTATGGATAAGTCTACCCTGTTTATGGATGGGATATCAACTCAAAGACATGAAGAAATTATATACTAGTTTCCTTTTTGAACAGCAAAGTTTCCAGTTCGCTCCCTGGGACTTCCATTGATAACAAAGAACATGACGATCTCAGATTACCTCCCACGAATAGAGAAGAGGAAATGGATCAGTACATGGACAAGCAGATTTCTATCCTATGCTGGGAGACTACAATTGATTAAGTCAATGATCATGAGTTTAAAAAACTTTTGGATGGCAGCATTTCTGTTACCGAAAAGATGTATTAAAGAAATAGAAAGATTGTATTCTGCTTTTTTTGTTCAGGCCCGGATCTAAATAGTATGAAAGCTAAATTAGATTGGAGGGATATGTGTAAAGAGAAGCAAGAAAGAGGATTGGGACTGATACTGTTGAAGGAAATAAGCTTGGTATGTTGTATAAAACTTATATGGAGAATTTCATCATCTCAATATCTTTGGGTGAGTTGGATCAAAACATATCTTATCAAGAAAGGATCAATATGGATGATTAAATAAATCACCCAAAGAGATTCATGGATGTGGAAGAATATTCTTAAGTGTAGAGATATGTGATATCACTCAAATTATCCTAAGGAGTGATTTTACTCTCTCAAATAAGAGGTTCAATCATAGTACTTAGGGATCGAATCCACAAGGAACTAGAGTCACAAAAGATATAATCCTAAGTGATTAAGCTAGGTTGAAAAAGGTTTAAAACAGTAAATAAATAAGTAGCAATGGTAAGTTGCTAAAGAGAATAGGTTTTGGGTTTTGAAAACAATGAAAAGAAATAGTTAGATTCAAGGTTACTATTCAGAAAATCAGGATTATAGATCTATGGATGTCTTAACGAATTGCTTGCAAATATATGAGAACTTCAATCCTTAGACAAATCTATAGCTGTCGCTAGTTAGACTCGTCCATTGATCTGATTGCCGACTGCATCGATCGATGTTGCTATCGCAGTGTCGATCGATATAAGCTGNCAAGGTTACTATTCAGAAAATCAGGATTATAGATCTATGGATGTCTTAACGAATTGCTTGCAAATATATGAGAACTTCAATCCTTAGACAAATCTATAGCTGTCGCTAGTTAGACTCGTCCATTGATCTGATTGCCGACTGCATCGATCGATGTTGCTATCGCAGTGTCGATCGATATAAGCTGTCGTCGATCGATAACTTTAGAAGAGCATCGATCGATATTAAGTATCAGATCGGATCGAACTTTGTTCACCCGAGAACTTCTATCAGACCGGCTGTCGCATCAGTACAAGAAAAAGTGGTATTAATAGCAGAATATGATAGCACGGTTTTCGTAAGTGTTATGAAAGACCAAAATTTTTTTTTGGTTAACATTAATAGCATATTACTAATGCTATTGTGGAAAATTTTATGAGCGGGAAAAAAAATCACTAATACCGCCATACTTAGATGAAAATTACACGAGCACCAAATATTCCCTCGTTACGATAACAATTTCTTTACTTAAGTTAAATAAAATAAAATAAAATCAGTGTCACCACGAGACAAGAAAAAAAAAAGAGTCACTGAAACCCTACTTTTTTCAATTTCCTTTCTTTCCCAGGGTCTGAGTTTGAGAGAGAACAGAGAAGAGGCGAGGCGAGGCGAAACAGAGATAGAGAGGAGACAAAGCTTGGGTTGTGTCTTGCTTCGTCTAGGATAACCAGAGCTTGCGTTGGGTCGTGTCTTGCTTTGTCTCCGCCATTTTCGCCTCTGCTTCGTAGATCCACTGTGTTCGAGCTCTGTCGCCGCTTGTACCGGAGTTTGAGTCCAGCGAGAAGAGAAGGCAGAAGATGGAGTTGGTTCAGAGACAAGGGAAGAGACAACCTGACTCTCGAGCTTCCAGTCTAAGGTACGTTAGTATACCCTCTCGTGTTCTTCATATAGAGAAATGAGCAAGCTCATTCCTATGTTAAGAGATCTGATTGATGGCGTACAGTAAGCTTGAAGATGGATTTGTGCTATGTGTTGATTGCAGGAGAGGGAGGAGATGGAGACTGAGAGAAGAAGAAGAAGAAGAGCCGGAGATTCAAAACGAGAGAAGACAGAAGACCAAGTTGTTTGGATGGACAAGGTAGGCGAGGAACTCAGGTACGTCTAGAGTCTGTTTTGAACAAAACTCTTTACTTTTCTTTAAAGCTTATCAAGTTCTTCTTTCCCTCTTGTTTGCAGTATAGGAGTTTGTGATGTTTCTGAAGTTAAAGAAGTGAAACATAAAGTAGAAGAAGAAGACAAACATGGAGATGATTACTCTACCTTGTACATTCTTGCTTACTTCTTCACCAGGTCCTTGCTTACTTCCTGATCTTGTCTTGAGAGTTCTTGACTTTTTCTATTGGTTAAAGAACCATGTCTGAATAATGAGTTTCATAGAACAATGATTTTTTTTTTTTTTTTTTTTGCATCTCGGGAAGAAAAGTGTTTGATGACCGCAAGGGACTTTCCAAATGCTGCTGCAAATCAACCACTTCAGGCTCCTAAAGAGTATCCTTTTTGTTCCTAGTATTGATTTTAGTAGCAGGAAGAGAAGTCTGAACCTTTATGTATCGAGATTTGGATTTGATAATGTGGGTGTTGGTTTGTTATTCGTAGCCTTTGCTGATTGTGATGTCCTTGTTCTTCGTTAAGCTTAGGTTCAGGAAAGCTTTAAAAATCACATCTTACGGCCTTACAAATTTTATATCATTTGAGCAGTTTGGTGAGTTTCTTTCTGCGTAAAAACTTGAGGAAAAGGCGTATAACAAGTTGTAAGATATAATTCTCCATTCATAGTAATCTTTCTCTGTAAAGCTTTGACTGAATGGCTTTGTTGATATGTAATGTATCCTTTTCTGTAGGACGAGCAACGGGTTATAGAAGTGATAATAAGGATGATGTAGAAATAAAATACAGGATGATGAAGAGAAAATGTAGAAACAGTTGGAATCTTGATCAGGTTTATGTTTCTTCACTCTTACAATATTGATCATCTATTTTGGTTTTATGTTAAAAAGGATCATACTTTATGAACTTTAGCAATCTGTTTTTCTCGCCACTGCTAATACATCAGTTAACAGTTTCGTTTTCAATTCTGATCGTTGTGGCTTAGTCTGAAATGTTTTTTTGGTCTATCCTGACATGAGTCTAGAAGAATTTAAGTCTAGGGTTGTTACTGCGTTGGATGTTGTTGGCATGTGTAATTATATGCAGGTTGGATTTATGTTAATTGATTGACACAATGATTTGTTTTTCCTTATTACAGTGTTTATAAAAATTAAGAGTTTGGTTATTATTGTTTACAGTGGTGGTCAGAAACAAAGATGATACTCCATTCTCATGTATAAAAATTAGAGTCTGGTTATCCTTCCCTCTCTGCCTTACATAACAGGAGCCCAATTCCAACTATCTTGCAGCGTTCTGATATTATATTCTTTTGTAAAACATAAATGTTAATGATACTCCGTTATCCTGTTTTTGTTCATCTTTTAGTAATCATGTTGCTCTTTTGTTCTTGCTGATTCCAGTTGCAGGTAGATCCACTGGAATTCCTTTCCTTGACCATATATTAGATGTAAGTGTCTCCTCTTATCAATTTTCTTTCGTTTCTTATTAGTTCTGATCCTTTATAAACATTGGATAGAGCTTAAGGTGAGATATTTCTGAAATTTTCTTACGTTCTTTAACTTGTATGTTATAAAGAAGTAAGCATACATCTCTTAAACTTAAAAGAGTATGAAGTGAACGTGTGATTCGTTCTTAATTCAAAAGCTCAAACAGCTGAACCCTTTTAATTCTTTTTTACAAGTTCTTGGAATACTATCTTGGGATATTATTGAGGTGGGATATTATTGAGGTGCATCCCTTACGGTTTCTCTGAGAGATACAGGCTAAGGTCAAGAAACAAAAATGGGAGTTCAAGGTTTTGATTTAGTTTCCATGTTTTCTAGTCCTTTTCATATTTACTTCTCGTTTTGTAATGATTATTTTCTTATGTAAATCTAATTTGCAACAAAATATGTTTCTATCAAATGGTTCTATAGCACATAATCGATAATATATATAGCATTGATACATCACTTTCATAGAATATATGATAACGTTCAACACAAAAGCTATTATAATGTTTTGACTAACCATAGCAAGTTAAAAACAACGCTACTATATGTCTCTGATATAATAGCTTTTTAAAAAATGCTGTCATATAAGGGGGACCTATTATAGCTGGGGCAGACATAACGGTTTCAATAATGCTAACAATAGCATATGATAGCTGTTTCCTTACGCTAAGAACGGACATTTTTCTTGTAATGCATCGTGCCTTAATAGAGTCTGGGTTTAGCCAAATGATTTCAGGAAGATGACTATTAGATTAGTCACCCCATAATCAATACTCTAGGTAGCAAGTCTAGAGTAAGCATTAGAGTTCATTTGGATAATGAATATAACAACTCAACAATCCATAGTTGGGGCTAATCCCTCAAAACTATTTGAACCATAAATCTAACATATGAATCTACTCAGACATAGCCAAGAGATTCATAGCAAAAGAATAAGAAGAAAAGAAAATGTTTTTATTGCTAAATAGAATAGAATACAAAACTTGGTTCAAAACTTCATATCTCTTAAGGCTCATAGGCATAGCTATAAATAGGGAGTACAATTAGGTTAAAAACTCGTCAGGAGCAGTCTTGTAATTTGGTGAGAACTTGGGCTTCAAGTTGGCTAAATAAATCTTGCTCATCACGCTCTGTATCGATCAATGGTACATTGCGTACATCGATCAATGGAGTATCTCGACTTCAACTTCTACGGAAGCGTCATCGATCGATTACACAGGGTGTGTATCGATCGATATGTATCTCTTATGTCGGATCTTCATAATCATCTTGGAAAACTCTTCTTTAAGCACCAAAAGGCACCTAAATCATCACTTTACCACAAAATGCTCCTGAACCTGAAAACATACCTAATAGACTCCAAAACATAGATAATTATAATAAAAACATATAGAAAATATGACCAAAAGCGGGTCAAAATCATGGTCTATCAACTCCCCCAGACTTAACCTTTTGCTTGTCCT